GATAACTATTTTCTTTCAGTCAGTGAGCATTTAAAGGAGAATTAGCAGGGCCCCCGGCTCCCCAGGAACCCCATGGTTTGGGTGGGCGCTTTCTGCAGAGATGTTCCTGTTCCACACACACTCTGTCCCAAAGGCAGTCATTAGGCCTATTGGATTGTTCTGGTCAGGAGACTGTGGATTTATACCACTAACAACTTCTTGGTTGCCAACAGTGCTGACACACTTTTGCTCTAGAATGAATCTTTGTTGTCAGCCATGGAAGTTCAGGGTTCAGTTAGGTAGGACTTCAGTATGAGTTTCAAGCGAGACTGTAAGCTGGTAGGAAAAGAAGCAGGGATGGGCCCTCCATGGTGGCATAACAGTTTAAACAGCACTATGAAGCTATCGAGGCCATGGCAGCATGAGTTCGATCCCTGGCTAGGGGGTGACCCACATGGCACAGACCTCTCCTGACCTGTCTGCTGCTCCTCCTTAGCAGTGTACTACATCAGTCAGCCTGTTCTGCTCCCCACTCTATCTCTGGTGAAGCCTCTCCCCCACCCCGCACCTCTGGCCAGCTCTATATGTATATAGTTAAAAATAAATATTAAAAAAAGAAAAGAAGCAGAGATTAACAACAGGCAGAGATCTCCATCTCTGCTTGACTTTTGATTTCTCCTGGCATAACAAGTAGAGATAGAGGTTTTGATTTCTCCTGGAATTCATTTGGTGGACTACCAAATGTCACCTTAGACTTCTATTCTACCTCAAACCAAAGAAGAGGGTATGATAGCAACAAAGAAGCCTGAGAGCACACCCTCAGACCCATACATACCCCAAGTGGGGAGCTCACCTCACCTCCCTGCCTTTTATCACTCCAGTCAGCAAAAAAGTCACCTCACAGCTCTCTCCTTCCCTCAGCCAGAACCAGAGGTGCTGAGACCAACATGCTGAGTAGCAGCTAGGACTCAAGGCAGACAGGCACGCTCCTGAACTTTCCAGGAAGACAATAGTTGACCTTTTAAGCCTTCATGATTTTTTATTTTTTCTTCTCAGTTCAACAGCAAAGCTGATATATGTTTTAAAATATTCTCCATCATATGTGTTTATAAAATGTAAACTGGAAGTATGAAATGTCAGGGAGAAGATATTCATCGTTTTTTGAAAGCCCGCCAAGTTCTTTTTCTATAACCAAAACTGCTTAGTCAACCAATTCACTCTAATCTGCGTCTATTCCTATCGGCTTTATTTAGCCTGAAGTTAAGTCAGGAACTATTCCCTGCAGTGTTTACAATCATATGTTAAGAATCTGGTTTATTCACATGGGTGCATGCCAGGGAATGCAAGGTGCCCTCAGAAAGGATAGAATGAAAGAGGGAGGGAGGGAGGGAGGAGGAAAACAGGAGAGAAAAGGAGGGAGACAGGGAGGGGCGGAACTGTAGCTGATGTAAACTACCTTTTTTGCTCATCTCCTTCCATTCAGTCAGTCTTGGGCACTTTACCTTGCAGTATATTCAAAGAATTTTCTACTCAGGTGTCTTGGGAAAATAGATTTGAATTGTAACCTAAAGCGATTTAAAAGCTTCTAATTACCTGGAACTTGGACCTTTGTTAGCTACATTATTGGCATTCTGACTAGTCCTATGAGAAAGATGCTAGGTGGAAGCAGAATGGCAAAATGGCTAAGCAGAAAGTGAATCACTGCCCCTTCCCCATTTTTCTTCTGCCTTGATTTGACTGGCAACGTATCGCCACATTTCTGTTTCCTGGCTTATTAGATGGGAAAAAAGTTGTGGGGATTAATGAAGATTAAATAATGTAACATCTACCAGGCTCTGGGCACATGCTTGGCACATGGTAAATGCTCAGAAAACACTGATAGCAAACACTGATTTTCCCAAAACGCCACGCTCCCAAATGAAGTCAAACACCTCTGCTTTATTAGCACATTACTATCGGGGCTTCAGTGTAATGCAAACAGGTGGTTTGCTTTTTCAAGGTTCTTAGGACAGAATATTGTGAAGAGCCTGTTATATCAAAGAAACAAAAATGGAGACGGGATTGTTGGATGAGATGGGAAGGTGGGCTCTGTCAAGGAAAGATCCTGACATCTGACACTTTCCAGAGCACCGTTTGAAAACCAAAAACCTGGTCCAACCCTGTCATTTGACCAATAAGGGAATGGCTGAGAAATGTGACATTGTTTCTCTCCGTGATGCAATTCGAGGTACACTCTGTACTCCTGTCACTTCCTATTCCAAAAATAAGGGGGAACATGGGTGGCTCCCAATAGGTGGGAGTATTCAGTAAGACTTAGAAACTTTAAAGATGCAGAGCTTTTAGTTCACCATCTGTGAACCTTTTCTTCCTAGAGTTGATGATAATCTTTTGGGTGGCCCATTTCCATGTCATGTTTATTTTTCAACTTTTTTAATGCAACTTAAAGCATTTCCTGTGTTGTTCTAGTACCTTCTATCAACCTTGAGGACAAATAGCAGCTGTGTAGGTTTCCATGAAATTTGACTCAAAACAACTCACTACCTCCTGCACGCTCTACCTTAGTCTTCTGTGGTCTCTTTTGATGCTAAATCAAATGCTATGATTCCCAAATGTTTGCACATTGGGGGCATTTTACTTGGACCTCTTGAACAGTGTTCTTATTAGTGCAACACAGAAATGTAAACAAGAAGCTGACCCAGTGAAAAATTTGAAGCCAATGTATTTTCTTTTCGAGATAAGGCTATGTTTGTACAAACAACCTCGGACTCTATTTGGAAAAGAAAAAAGATGTAATGCAGTTTATGACTGCTGTGCTATTTCCAAATGTAGTTAGTTTCCTGTTCAGTGTTTCATGTATCTTTATCTTCTTGTGGAAAGTTAGTTTTTCAGTTGTTTTCAGAAAAGAAGAAAGTTTACTTAGGGGATTCTTAATACCCTCTGTCTGTCTTAACAGGGATTGGGGGGGTGTCCCCAGGAAAAGGGGAGGTTCCTAGTCTGCTGCCCCACCCAAAGGAGGGTGGAGCTGAGCAGGGAGGAGAAGAATCTGGAGAGGAGACTGAGGAGGAAGGAAAAAGGATGTGGAGCCAGAAGGAGACCTGAGGGAGCCACATGGAAAAAAGAGACATGTGAAGAAACTGCGCTTGCTTCCCGTGCCTCCCTCATGTCTCCTGGCTCTTCATCCTGCTTCCTTCCTCCTCAGTCTCCTCTCCAGATTCCTCTCCTCCCTGCTCAGCTCCATCCTCCCTCTGGGTGGGACCAGGAACCTGGAACCTCTCCTTTGCCCGGGGACCACCCTGTTACACTATTACCTGGTCTTTCAGTTACTTGGGCTGCTGTCCCCTGACCCTACATCTTTAAAGCTCTTTCAAAGAGCTCTATAACCAAAGATCTCCACTACCTAGCTCAGACGTGGTGCTTGACTAATTACCTAAGAGACTTCCTAGATTTAATCAGGCATGTGAAAGAAAAAAAAAACATTACTTTTGGACTTCTATACCAAAAAAAATATGTAGTGCATCATTATTCTTCTGGTTTGAAATAAACACACACACATATGTAAAATAATTCTATTTAGAACAAAGTGAAAAGGTCTTTATAGGAATTATAGTTCTCAGTTTCCAGGTCAAGTGAGTTAGGCTGAAGACAAAGTGAATTCAGTGACAAATGCAGAAGCTAAAAATTTTAAGCACTTAGGATTTGCTTAATGTATCATATCTCATTTAATCCTCACAAACATTCCTATTTGGTTGGCTATTACACCCGTTTTACAAGTAAGGAAACACAGGCTTAAATTATTGTTCCATAGTGGGGACAGGATTTGAACCCAAGCAGCATGGTTCCAGAACCCATTTACCTATAAATGACTAATGAATGAGTGTAATGCATTAAGAATAATGCTTTCACCCTAGTAAACATACAACAGCTCTCACGGGTTAATTTAAGGCTCTGACGTACAACATTTTCTGAATCCGGGAGAAAGGTGGGAAAGAAAGATAATTGTAAGCCATGAAATCTTCAACTGTGTTTCTTCTTGTACTGATCTGACAAAAAATATTATAAATCCCTGGCATATTTAATTTCTAACATTTGTTTGTTAACAAATTATAGTTCTCAGGGCGTGTCTTTTGAGTTTATTTATTTATTTTATTTATACATACAAGACCCGGGGTCTAGGCCAGAGGTGCAGGGGGTGAGAGGATTTACCAGAGACAGAGTGGGGAGCAGAACAGGCAGATCTACTGAAATGTCCTGTTAAGGGCAACAGCAGGTGAGACAAGAGAGGTCTTCTGTGCCATGTGCATTAACTGCTTGGCCAGGAGTTGAACTCATGTTGGAGTGACAGAAGATAGATTGATAGTGCTGGGACTTACTCCCTTGCACCACCAGGGAGGCCTAGGGCATGTCTTTTGATTTATTCTTATCCACGGGATCTCTAACACACCAACATGAGGATGTTAATAGTAGACATCTTCCGGCTGGGTTCATGAAGGCACAAGGCAAATTGCCCAGAGCAGGCACTCCACCCTGGCTTCCTGGTCATAGCTCAGTGCCCATTCACGGGCAACTGCCTCATGTTCAAAGCAAGTAGGAACGTTGAAAACAAAGATGAGCCATCTTCTTCTTTTAGGTTTGTGAATGGCTTTTAGAAGATCTTGATTTGCTCCAAGGACATATTATTTTACTGGATTTCCTGTCATACTGTCTCCGTGGTCGACCATGAGCCAGTCAGACCCTGCAGATGATTCAAAGTCCAGTCCCACCCCGCTGTGTGTCGTGTGTGGCCAAGCCCACTCCTCCGAGGAAAACCACTTCTACACCTACACGGACGACGTGGATGATGATCTCATATGCCACATCTGCCTGCAAGCGCTGCTGGACCCTCTGGACACGCCCTGTGGGCACACATACTGCACAGTCTGCCTCACGAACTTCCTGGTGGAGAAGGACTTCTGCCCGGTGGACCGCCAGGCTTTGGTTCTGCAGCACTGCAGGAAGTCCAGCATTCTGGTCAACAAGCTCCTCAACAAACTGCTGGTGACCTGCCCCTTCGCGGAGCACTGCAATGAGGTGCTGCAGCGCGGTGACCTCCAGCAGCACTTTCAAAGCAGGTAGGACCGCCCCCTCCACCTCCCCTGAGAGGCTCCGCCCCCTCCACCTCCCCTGAGAGGCTCCGCCCCCGCGAGGGAAGGCACTCACCTGTCTCAGAGGGCGGGGCGTCTCCAGTGCCCTGGTGCTCCACCAGGTGGCCATTTCTCCGTCTTCTCTGCAACCAATAAAAAGAATCATTCCGATGAAGACATGTTTCAGGTGTTTAGGACTTTGGCTCAGTATGAGGCAATAGCGAGGAGGGGGTTATAGGGATTTTTTTTTAATAGTAAAAAAAGCTTTAACAGTTTCATTTTATTTATTTTTAATATTTTTGAAGTAACACTGCATTATAACATTTGAGTTTTATTTATTATGTATTTTATTATTTATTTATGGGCTTATTCTGGGTTTTAGGTGCGCATCATTATAAGTCAGTGTCTATAGAGGGATGTTCATGGGCTAACGTCCGATTCTATGACTCTCCATAGGTCAGCCCGTTACCCAGGTTGCCTAACCCCACTCCTCTTTCCCCTCTGGTAACCACCGATTGGCTTTATAATCTAAACGTTGGCTTTTGTTTTATTTAGTTCATGCGTGTGTTATGTGTCTTTTATTTGTCACCTATGATGAAATCACTTGGTGTTGTCTTTCTCCATCTGACTTCACCAAGCAGGGTTCACCAGGTTGTTACAAACAGCAGGATTTTCTTTATATAGCTTGTGTTACATCATAACCGTCCTCAGCTCTTGGACATTGTAGGTATTTTTTTAAACATTTTAAAATATACGGTTAAGTGATACTAAGTGCAGTTGCATTGCTGGGTGCCCATTGCTAGCACCTACAGAACCTTCTCTCTCTTCCAGAACCGAAACACTGCACCCATTAAACCAAAACTCTCCCTGTGCTCCTCTTCAGGCCTGGCAAGCCCCATTCTACTTTCTGTCTCCAAGAACACAACAACTCTAGGAGCCATGTAGGAGCACCACATGGCACTTGTTCTTTTGTGACTTGTTGGTGGCTTATTTTACATGTGGTTGGTTTGAAATGTGAAAGATGCTGGAAAAATATGATGAGCAGCTTTTTCTGAGGATCCTGGTCTCCAAAAAATTTCCTGGTAGCCCTTGCCCTGTGCTTTTCAGTAAGAAGGAAGTGTCTCTGATGGTCCATAAGTAGAATTTCCTTTTATTGACAAGGATTAAGAATTTGGAGCTAATCTAGCCCTTTAACTTTGAGGATACTTTTTCAGTAAGTTTTAAAAGAAATTTAGAGGACTTCTGTCATCCAAGCAACTTGTTCTGTGAATGTTGTGGCAAGGTTTCACACTAACCACAGAGCTGAGAGGAGACCGCCTATGCTCGTTGCCGGTGTCCCCGGGCTGTCTCTTATTTCACCCACTTCCTTTGTCATGTTCTTGGGCCCGTGTGGAAGGCCTTGGGGACAGCTCTGGGACTTGTTCCACATGAGCGATTCTCTTAGGACATGCAAGGTGCTTCATAAAGGATGAACAGTAATACTACAATTATTTTGTAAGAGGAAATTTGGAGGCTGGTATTTATCTTGGTTCCTGTCATGACAAGGGGAAGAGTCAGGTGCAGATGTTTTTTCTAAAGGTCACATACCTTAAGTCATGAATCTCAGTCTTTGTCTCCTGGGACATGAAGCTTGTCAAACATGGAAGGTTGCAGCCAAAGCAATGACCTGGGTATAATGCTTTGCACATGTCTTCCATACCAATTTTTCTCCAGTGAATTAATTTTTCTCCCCAAGATCTGAGCCAAAGGCATTTAGCTCATATTTGTGGGGTGCCTCTGACCCACTGTTATCATTAGTATTTAAAGGAGGCTGTCAAAAGGGACTCTACTTGTGACCTTTACTGTGTTACCCAGGTAGGCGAAGCACTGTCTGAAAGAAAGTAGGTCTGAGGTCAAAGGTGAGGTCAATGCTGACAGGTTCACACTGAGGCCACACTGGGAAGGAAAGATGAAGATGAGGAGCAGAACAGGCCTGGTAGATAGAGCTCCCTAGTCTTTATATGCTCCCATGTTCCTGATATGTTATGGTTTCTACATTTGTGTTGTGGGCCGTATTAGTTTCCTGTTGCTGCTGTAACACATGATCACATCTGAGTGGCTGTCAACAACATAGTTCTGAGGGTTAGAAGTCCAACATGAGTCTCACTGGGTTAACACCCATGGGTTGGGAGGGTTAGTTCCTTTGGGCTGTAGGGGAGTATCCCTTTTTTTGCCTCTCTCAGTTTCTAGAGATTTCTTGGTTTATGGCCCCCTCCATCTTCAAAGCCAGCAGTATAGAATCTTCTGGCCTCTTCCTTTTTCTTTGTCTCTGTCTCTCTCTGTGTGTCCCTCTCTTTGTCTCTCTTTCATCATCCCTGCTTTCATCATCATATCTTCTGTGACACTGACTTCCTGCCTGTGTCTGACAAGGACATCCATGAGCCATTGAGCCCACCTGGATAATCAAGGGTCATTTCATTAGGGTCACTTCCTCATCTCAAGAGCTTAATCACATCTGCATAGCCCATTTTGCTATGTAAGATCACATACTCAGAGGTTTTGAGGATTGAGAGGTGGGCTCAGGAGTGCTGTCGGGGAGAAGTAAGAGTGGAGTCAGAGAAGGAAAGAAATGAAAAGATTCTCTGGAGAGAAAGTGAAAGCACAGCAGCTCCTTCTGATTGCCCCGCCCCTCATCAGGTACTGATCTGGGGCCAAGAAAACTGATAAAAACTGGAATGAGATGGCACAGTCTAAGGGCAAGGTCAGAATGGAAGTAGGACAGAGATCAGGCTAGAAGGGTCTGAGTGGGAACTTGTGGGAGCTCAGAGAAATGATACAAATACCCCTAAGCTGCCCAGTGGGAACTTCATTCACCTGAGTGGCCCACACACCCCAAGAAAGCCCAGGTGGAGGTTTGATGAGCACCCAGCTGATAATGACATGCACTTTTGAAAAATAACAGTGAGGGGAGCACTTAAAACTAATTGAAATCACTCCTCTGAGCTGCAGCCTCCACAGCAGCTCTCGGTGGAGAGGAAATCTCCCACATCACAGAGGTGTTGAGCTCAACACCTGCTCCTATCCTCTCCACACATCAACTTCCTAAGTAGGTTGACACCAGCGTTTCCAAAAATACATTGTATATATTAGTCATCAAATGCTTAATATACACCTCTTCCTCCCCACCCTCGAGGCATTTTGTTGGCAAGGATTAAGAATTTGAAGCTAATCCAGGCTTGACTCTGGAACCCTCTTGGGCCCAGGGCCTGTAATGGGGCCAGTAGATCACCTCTTCCTATGTCAGAAGGGATGTTAAAAAATTAAGTAGCTTCATCTCTGGAGGCCCTTGAACTGGGGAAACCAAGAGGTTACCAGAAACAAGCATTTTCCTCATAGTTCTCTAGAGAAACTGTGTCTCATATAGAGGTTGGTGGCTGCTTGTATGGGAGGGTTGTCATGCATATATACTAGGAGATAGCTCAGATTATCAACTTGGCATCTTAGTTTCAGTATTGAAAATGTAATGAGTTAAAAAAAAGTGTCCTTTAGCTTATGGCATTTTGGTGAATATAAGTGAGGCAGACTGACAGTTGAGGAGAACTTAGCTATAATTCTGGTTGATAGGAGCCACACATCCTGTTCTAGCAGACTCGAGAGATAACAGTCCTAGACTTCATGGGAAACTCCATCCTTAGGTTTCTCCATTTGTAAATGGGAATTTATTTCAATCAACTTCTTGAAAGCAAAGCTCTTGCAGAAATGAGTTATATCCAAAGTGTTCCCATTGTCTCTCTAGTAAAGAACATATGTTGGAGAATTATTTTTCCCCTCAGCCAAGGTGTCTGTTCATGCCCTTTCCATAAGACCTTATTATTACTAATAGCACTGAGTTGGGCAAGCTGCCTGTTTCTTCCAGAATGTATGTCATTTGCAAACACTCTCATCTAAGTGCTTCAGGCCCTGAATTGTAAGAAAAACATTTATGGAGGACTGTAGGTATGCACGACCGACAGGCCAGCAGCCGCTTGGACAATGTGTCTGACTCAGGCTAGGAGCTCGTCCATGGGAAAGCCAGTGCATGTAAGCCAATTTGGAAAATGTCCTGGTCAGTTATTTAACTTCTTCCCTCTTAGGTGCTCAGAGATTCCTATCACCTGGGTCTACCGCAAAGAAATTTCCCACCCGGGTGATGGGCTGGTCAAATTCTAACCAAAGGACATAGGGGTATGGCAGAGAGCTGAGCTCATGCTTCTCTCTTGATTCAACCCACCAGAGAGAGGGGAGGTGAAGGCAGAGATTTTCCTTCCTTGGTCCTGAGGGGGTAGTTCTCTTAGGCTCGAGGCAACATCTTCACTGTGTAATGTTATTATCTGCATGTGTAATATTTATCAAGGATCCACATTAGGTCTGGTCATGAATAATAAAAAATCTATGCACGCCATGATTTCTGCCTCTGTCGAAAGACATTTTAACCATAAAGGAGAGGAGTTGAAAACACCAGGCACATTGAATTATTTCATAGACCAGTCACTTTGCCCTTTGGTTTCTCTCTTATGGGAGATAATAAAGTTGACCCTAAGTATTTTCTAGCAAGAACAAAGACATCACTGTTCAGTGTTTTGAAAGCAGCCCTGAGTGAAAATGTGAGGTGACTGGCCTAGACATACCCTACTGAAGGTTCGCAGGTTATTTTCTCGGTTAACTTTGCTCCTGATGCCCTAGGAGTTTCTTCTCCAAAGACCTGCCTGGAACCACTCTTAACCTTTCCTTCTCCCTGGTGATTCTTTTCTTTGGTGAATTCCCTGAAGTACAGGCTCTGCTTGCTGTCTAAAATACAGACATTTTATTGTCAGAGCCAAGATCTTAGGAAGTATTACCCTTGAAAACGTGGGTAGGTTTACAGGCTTATTGAACCCTGCCTCCTACCTAAATACATCCACTACTGTTTCGTTGGACAAACATCCTCCTTGTGACTTTCCAACTATAAGCCTAACTTTACCCTGGCCCCTCCCTTGTTGAGAGTCCCTCTTTTCTAGCCATTGGCATGAAAGAAATGAGGCAGTTTTCCTGCATTACCTTGAGAGAACCTTTGAGTTTCCATCAGATTATGCTCCCTGTGATTATTTAAAGAATAATTCTCCAGGGCACTTATTCTCAGAAATAGTCTTTAACGTTTTCATTTTTTTAAAAAAGATTTATTTATTTATGCATACAGAACTGGGGTACAGACCAGAAGTGCAGGAGCAGTGATAGGATTTACCAGAGACAGAGTGGGGAGTAGCAGGTGGGTCAGGAGAGGTTTGTAGCGCCATGTGGGTCACCTCTGGGGCCAGGGATAGAACTCATGCTGAGGTGGCTTTAGCTTCTTGGTGCTGTGCTTTAACCCACTGTGCCACCAGGGAGGGCCAACTTTTTCCTTTTTATCTGGATGTTTATTATCCATCTGTATAAATGCTCAATCCCGGTCATGGCTATTTGGTTACTAATTTTCCTGTAATCATTAAAACTAGGCCCAAATTGTTGCCTTTTTAACTGAATTAAATTCTGTTCTCATTCAACAAATATTACTTGACCATCTATTATTACATGTAGCGAGGATACAGTGGTGAGCAGAACTGGTAGAACTGCTGCCTTCAAGGAATTCTCTATTTAGTGAGGAGAGAAGACAGTAAAGTAGGAGGTGATGGGTGAGACGACATCTAAGAATAAACAGGCAGAGTCTGGCTACAAGGCTGTTTACTGGCAAATAGGCTATAGAACAATCTATGTCCAAAAAAGGTAAGATTTTTCTCCCCAAGGAATTGTAATAGTTAGGAGTCTGTCTGATGTCAGATAATAGAAAATTCCAGCTATGTTTATTTAAATATGTTACTTAACACAAACTCTGGGAGTAAGAAGTCAGGTTAGTGTGTTATTACCATGATGCCATCAGGGACCAGGCTCCTCCTACTTTTCAGTTTAGCTTTCATCCTCAACCTGTCACCTCATGGCCTCATCATAGCTGCTCAAACTCCGACATCACATCTCAATTCCAGGCAGAAAGAACCAGATAGGAAGGACAAAATTACAATATGCAAACTGAGACACCCTCCCTTAAAGTGCTTTCTGGAGAGACATCAACAAGTAATCTCTGTTTATACCCCTGGCCAGTATTGTGTTACATGACCATCCATCGGCGAGAGGCCGAGTGTGCTACCACCATGAATAAAACCCAAGTTCTGTTAGAAGAAGGGAAAGGAGGTAGACATTGAATAGCCAAACACCAATGGTTGTAACAGTAACATAAGCAACAACAAAAAATAATACCTTGTTTTTATATTTGTATTCATATCCACTAATAAATTTGTCCTCTGAAATACAAGCAGATAGAAGGGCATGCATCCTTTATTTTTTTCCCCCCAAAACTTGGAGGAACATCTGATGTGTACAAGATGGTCAGAAATGGTATGAGCACCCCTGTGATGCCCAAGGCCATTATTATTTGTACTACTTTTAAATTGTGATTTATACTGTAGGTCCTGGACACTCAAGAAGAGCATGTCTTGGGGCTCTGTGAAACTCTACATTCAGGATATACTATCCTTAGTAGAGCAGGAAGAAAGAAAGGACAAGCATAAGAAAGCATTTTGGAGACAGGTGCTGAGTTACCAGCAAGGCTCATTTACTATTATTAGTAGTTACTAGTGTCAATATTAATTACAATAGCTAACATACATTGAGCCCTTTGTTCTTTATAGGCATTATCTCATTCCACCTTCATAACAACACATGCATTAAACACTATTATTATTGTCTTTCTTTTACAGAGGAGGATACAGAGGTTCAGAGAGGTTAAGCAACACACCCCGTGTCACACAGCAGTGTTACCATTCATGCTCAACCCTCTAAATACTAGCATCTAAATACCAGACCTCACTTCCTTTGTACTGCTCTTTACCAGCTTGGATTTAAAGGGAATGGAATTCAAATTAGGGCCTCAACAAAATTAAAAATTAGTATGTGTTATGCCTTATTAAAACTACCTATCTTGGACCTAACCTGTAGAAGTTAACTCTGAACGCTCTTAAGGGCTCTTAGGTCACCACAGCTAAATGTATCGAACTCATTTAGCCCTGCATCAGGTAGATGCAGCTCTCTGATGGCAGATTCCCACTATTGATGCCTTTTCGCTGCACTCGGCCTCATCCTGCACTTTCTTCTCTGGTCTTCCTTTCATCAAGTAGCTTGCTATTGTTGTCATTAATGGAATTATTCCCCTGAGCCATTTATAATAAAATGTAGGCTATGCATTGGCAAAATGGCAGGGGGTGCCAGAGGGGTAGACTCCTAGGAGTTCGGTGGCCTCCTGGGGCTTAGGCCTCCACAGAAGTCCTAATGTGACTATAACGAGTAGTCTAGTCACAGATCTGAAAGCCGGAAGGGATGAAGTAGGTAGCCTCCGTTGGAGGTGCAGATAAGATGTTGCCATTTCCATTTCAAAGATGAGCTGACTGAGGCTAAAGAGCTAAAATGAATTGTCCAAGGTTACTGCCAGTGTCAGAGCTGAATTCAACCACACACGCCACAGGATGCAGGAGTGCTTTCCCTCACAGAACAGGAATCTGTGCCTCACGACTGCTGTTCTCGAAGTGAATGACACAGCCTCTTCTGGTACAGGGCCAATTTTCAAAACGAGCGAGGAAGCCATCACACTGTGACATGTGGCAGTGGGGTCTGCACAGTGATAGGTAAAATCTCCTCAGCACACGTTCACATAGAGAGGTGGAGTCAATTCCCATTTAACCCTCCTGCGTCTCAGCCTCTGAAGGCTCGCTCTGAGCTCCGATCTCCAGGCTGTGTTCCAGACATGCTAATTTCTTACCGTGTCTTTCTCTAGCAAGCTCTAGGACAGTGTTTGCTGATTTGCTTGTTCACGCCGTGGGCTCTGAATATGCCAGGCTCATGCCCTCTTCCATCTCAGTTTAGCTCCAGCCCATCTGCTCAGGGCCAGTGATGTAAATGTACCAGCTGCTTCCCAAGAACCAGTCGGCATCCTGCGGGAGGGGCAGGTCCCTTCCCGGGTGTCAGCCTGCTTGCTCTCAGCCTCAGCCCTCTCGCCAGCCTTGGTGGGTCCCTCCCTTCTCTTATCTGCCCACCTGAGAATCAGAAGGCACAATCTTCTTACAGGCCCATGATTTATCAGCGTGGCTGGATCTAAGGGCTTGAAGTCAGATTCCTTGAGATCTACTGAGTGTGGAGACATGGCAAGGTTTGTTTAAAGGGGCTGGGCTGGGCTGGGCCTTGCAGCTGCAGAGAGAAGGTGCCAGGAAGAAAGCAGCCGCCTGCTCGGAAAATGAAGGCGCTTCTGTTGCTGGTCCTGCCTTGGCTCAGCCCTGCCAACTACATTGACAATGTGGGCAGTCTGCACTTCCTGTACTCAGAACTGTGAGTCCTCTAACCCAGCCTGCCTGTGTTTGTGTGTCGGGTATGTTGGGGGTGGGACCTGCTTTGTCTGTTTACAGGAATAACTTCCACGCACATGAGATGCACTTGGACAAACACCCTGCCAGCGGTTTCATACAGCTTGCTTGGTTGCTGTGGCTTACCCAGAAAAACACCATCTTATGAATGCAGAGATTTCCCAAGGAGGCATTTTTTTTCCTGCTTTGTGCCAAAATTGTTGTTGGTACTCTGCTTTTTCTCACTAGATGTGTCTTCTCTTCTTCCATAAATAGAACCACGAGGCACTTAAGAACAGCTTGCATGCACAGAACTGCAACCTGCATTGGCACTTGTCGTTGCAAGGAGACCCCTCCCTTTATTGAGACAACCTGTCTCCATGCCTGCAAACACAGTGTGCCTACAGGGGACAGCTGACTCTGTATGTGAAATATACAAGTCCACGTCATCTTTATTTTTCACAAGTTTTAAACAAGTGGGACTACTGAAATAACCATTCCCTTCTCCAAGATTTAATGATGAATATTTTGCTTTGTTGCTACACTTATTTATTTTTTTTGCCTGATGTGGCTTGGAGTAAATTGTAGTCATCGTGACATTTCACCCTTGATTACTCACTATGCAGCTCTCTGAAACATAAGGACATTTTCCTAAGTAACCTAGGCTTTATAAGAGGAAATGACTCATGTCCCCAAACTCTACAATGACCTTTCTCTGGATCCTTGTGTTAGTAAACTTTGAAAGAAGATTACAGATGAATGCAAACAGCTTCTGACAGTCATATAAAGGATGTTGTTATGGGTGCCTCTGGGTTTGCAGCATTTACAAATATGTATTCCCCCTTACTAACCAAACAGGTAAAAATATGAAAGGTTGTATAAATTAGAGTCCGTGAACCAATGAAAGAAGACTCTAGAGTTCATAGAATTCTATATCTTGGGGGCCACCATTGAATCCATCCAGACTAGAACAGCTCGGCCAGGCATATTTGGGTAGAGATAGCTGCAGCAGAGTGGAGTGATAGCTGGACTAACCAATTTGTCTAGCACAGCAGATGCCTGATAAACAAAGAAAAACCAGAGGACCTAGGTCCCTGCATGTAGGTTACTCATTTTAAGAACTTTGCTTTTCTAGATTACCTAGTCTTATTTTATCAGAATGTAACCCCAGTCTATCTAGTCCTATCTTATTGGGGCATAACCCCAACCCACTATAGATAAGAAAGTTCAAAGGAAGGTATCTGGTGCAAGCCTGAAGAGTGAGCATCTGTGGGGTAATAGTGAGTGGAAGTTTTTCTAATGTGCACAATGGCAAAACTAATTGGGATTGGACAACGCTTCCTTCCTTGCCTTAGTGGATGCTGAAGCTGGTATTTCTGAAATCTAATGCCAAAGCTTTCTCCCACTCCCCTCCCACCCACACCATCTGTTGTCCTGTTACTTGTTGCATTAGTTTCCTAGGGCCACTGTAACAATAGCCACACATAGGTGACTGAAAACAGCAGAAATGCACTCTCCTACAGTCCTGGAGGACAGAAGCTTGAAATCAAGGTGTCAACAGGCCACACACCCCCCAAAAGCTCCAGGATACAATCCTTCCTTGCCTCTTTTCAGTGATGGGTGGCATCAGGCATCCCTTGGCTGGTGGGGGACATCCATCTTTTGCTTGGTCTTCTACTCTTGTGTCCTCTCTAGTTCTGTGTCTTTGTATAAAGACACCTGTCATCAGATTTAAGGTTTACCTCAATAATACAAGATGATCTCAAATGAGATCCTTAGTTTAGCTGCATTTGTAAGCCCTTTTAAAGAAAAAAAAAGGTCACAACCACAGGTCTGGGTGGATATATATTTTGGGGGGGGGTCACCATTGAATCCACCACTGTTATATTGTGGAGCATGTTCATTGAGTTACTTATAGTTCTATAGCTTACCTGGTGGATGACTCTTCATATGGCTTAACAATTTTTGACCAGTCTGTGAATCAAAGGCAACTTTTCTGTTGAATAATTGAATGGATGCAAAGCAGGCCATTCTTTCCATGCTGAAGCAACCTAAGAGAGATGATGTCAAGAAATTTCAGGACTGTGTTCCCAAAATTACTTGATAGGACTTTCTGGAACACTCCAGTCACTGGAGATGCTTATGAGAGAATTCTGTACAGCTGTTACCTGGTGCTGTTGGTGATAATGAACTAATCAGGGACTCAGTGATACATTTCAGATAAATAGTAAGAGATTAGGTAAAATACCCACCCTCAAAAAGTTTAATTGAGAAGATAAAATGTATACATAGAAGAAATACTATGATCTGTGGCAGAAGAGGGGTGGAATTAGGCAGAATTCAGGAGGATGAGGCAGAATCAGGGAAGGGAAGAGAGAGCCCTCAGGCAGGGCGGGCGTGCCAGGCTTGCTGGCCTCAGTGTCCTGCAGGACAAGTGAGTGGGAACCGAAAGAGATCACCATAGGCTCTCCTGGGAGTAGGGGTCATGGCTGGTGGCTGTGTGGCCCCTGGATAAAGAGACCCTCTTACTATGCAGGCTACAGGGAGCTCAAAGACTGGCAAGCTTGGTGGATTTAGTGGGAAGGTGCTGTGGGTCCAGGCTTCCGCCTGCCACTGGAGTGTGAACCTTGGTGCCGTGGCCTGGGGTGAGCGGGCCTGTGCCCCTGCGTGCTTGTCTGCAGATCCCCTCCTGATTTTTCCTTTCTCTTCACTACTGAGAAGAGTCTCTCAGTCTGAATTCTGTTCCTTAGGGACCCAATTGGAAAACCAGAGCTAATCCCCTATATGGGGTCAGATTCAGCATGTGTGCTAGGTTTCTCAAACTCAAATGCCTATAGGAAGGAGGTAGGATTTATTTAAACATCTGAGTTGTTTGGGTTTAAGACAAAAGGAAGTGGTGAGGCCTGTGCTGATTATAACGTCTAAAGGCATTCACATTCAATTTAAAGCAAACTAAAATAAAAAACTGTCCAATCCAGCAAATCACTTCTGCTTGCTCTATTGGGCCTTGAACTCCAAGAGTTTATGTCCTCCACCAGCTCCTTCTTTAAACATGTCCGCTGCCTGAGGGAGCCGAGTGGCCCATAGTGGAGGACTATGGGTGCCTTGGAGGTGGTGAGGTGTGGTGACATGCGTCTGAGCACATGTGATCCTACGTGTCTGAACCACATACAGTGTTGTAAACCAAGGCTTGTTCAACTAACAAGGAAAAGAAACATGCCCACTGTCACTTAGTGTCTTGACCTAGAAGAGGATGAATGCTACAGAAAAAGCATGAAATCAATACGTGGTGTGGGGTCGAAATCCACAGGTGAGAGGCAGGGAGCCTAGGATCGCTCCTGGGGTCTGCCAAGAGCGTGCCCTAAGAACGAGAGGCACTGCTCTTTGCCCCTCCACCAGCTCTCACCCTCTGACTTGTGTGAACTCTCTGAAGTTCCACAGGCCCCACAGCTAATTTAGGAAATAGACTTTCTGAAGCCCATAGTCTCATGGGCTTCAGATGGAGCCTTCTCCTCTTTTCACAGCTATTTACAGCCCCACAAATGACAAAACTGGGCAAAACCCTGCCAGCGGCCTGGGTTGTGAGGACACCCACCAAAGACGCACAGCCTTGTTGGTTTGAATGCAGATGCTTGGCTTCTACATCAAATTGACCAGAGTGAAACTCCTAGGGGTCAATTTTCAGACTTAACTTCCCCAGCTGGCTGTCATTTTCAAGGTTAACAAGACTCCCAGGTGATTCTTTTGGGGACCAGTGCGTTTCACGCTCCACAACTTCCCCAGGTGTATTTCAGGCACTACCCCTTAAAAACCTTTTCCTCAGCCCCTAGCCCAGCCTTCCCCGGTGGAGAGTTGCCAACCGCTCCTCTCTGGTCTTCTGTCTCCTCTTCCTGGTGAGTCCTCGGAGGGAGAGCTTGAAAGATGTTAATGCCTTTCAGACTCGAGTTAAACTGAATGAATTTGTGTCCTATTTTGGTCAATCCCTAAATGTTGCAAGCTGTGATAAAAAAAGATTTGGTTTGGTTTCAGTGGATGGCGGTACTGCTGATAAGGACACAGCCAGCTCTTCTGAGAGGCTGCAGAAAGCTGACCGAGCTTAAACAGCTGATATGACAGCTTCCTCTCGGGTCACTGACCTGTGACTTTTGTAACATCTCGGTATTCGTTTAGCAAGGATGTGGATGGAGGGGCCTGGGAACTTGGGGGGGGAGGGGCAATGAGGTGTACTGTGTGATGCACATCCCACTCTCAGAAGCTATTTCTAGAAAGCTGAAAAGGTTGGTCTTCTTTTCCTTCAGCTTTCAATTTTTTAGTTCCATCACTGCGTTGAGTAGCAGTCATTAGGCCTGAGTCCTTGAAACACTTTTCAGTCTCTGTCAGATTCTCTCATGCTGTGCTCATGCCGGGGGTGTGTCAGTGTGTTTCGTGCAGGTGCACAGCCAGTTGGAGACCTACTTTTCACAGTCGATAGCTGTGTCTTGTGTAGGGAGGCAGTTAGCAACAAGACAGCCAGGTGAGGCTGCGGAGAACATCAGGTCCCTGAAGCCTGTCCTCAGCATGTGGCGCCTTTTTCTAACGTACAGTCAAGTGCTTCTCCCTTGTCAGTGGCATCACCACAAACAGTACTGGTGCAAGAGAGAAACGGCGAACTGTCCCTGCACAGAGTGTTTCTATGAGGGGTGGGCTGCTTCTCACTGGAGTCTGGTGCTCCCAAACGAAAATGAGGGACTCGAATATGACTGTGTAAGAACGAGGTCTCCCGGAGATGCTGCCAAGATCAGCAGTTATGAGGCAGCCCTGTGTGTGTTCTCCCAGGAGGTGAAATAAGGGCTGGGGATCAGAGACAGGACACCCACTAAGTGCCTTAGAACCAAGGACATCAACCACCCGCACCCCGCCTTAAGCCCTCCCTTAATTAACTGTGTCTTAGGACCAAGGACATCAACCACCCACATCCCCCTTAAGCCCTCCCTTAATTAACTGTTT